TAAAAATTGTACCTGGTAGATCCCCGAGCATGAGAATTGAGAAAGGGCATGAGTAAGGCCTTCCGATACTCACAACAAAGGCAACGAGGTGTGTCTTCGTCGGCCCTTCGATGCTTAAGTCCGAAGGGGTATATATATGAGGTTGTATACTAAACTTGCATGTAAAAGTGTACTTGAATAATGGACCCAGGTCATATATTTATAAAGGTAGGTAGTGTACTCCTAGTAGGATTGAATTAGTTGGATGTTCTTATCCAATAGAGAGACTTGAGAGGAGTATTTTATTTGTAATATAATTGCATGACCAACGATGCTATTGTTGACTTAGAGTTCTTGTGTACGTAGGCGTCCTGGGTTGAGGTGCTTGAATCATATTAGAGTCCTTATAAAATAGGACTTCTTATGGGTTTGACAAAAGGAGGATTTGGTATGAACGGAATAGCTCGAGGACTCATGAACCCCGTATTCCAAAAGAATGCCCGAGGACAATACTGACTAGATCACGAGGATGCAAATTGCCACTCCTCAGGTGTATTACCCTGAGGACTATGTGCCCTAATATGTGATGAGCAAGATCCTGTGAGTCCTTGGGAGAATCATCTCGGGAGGTTGCCAAAAGTGACTACATCAATTATAATTTATTCACAGTGTTATTTAAAGATTTCATATATTACATATATAAACACACATTTGTTTTGTTTGCAAATTAAATTAGATTACAATCGAAACATTCATTCCAAAAAGAATGTGAGCGCTGAAAGATTTATACAATTTCCACAACAAGCAAACACGACGAATTGCTTTAAAACTTGAGATGGGCAAAAGGGATATGAATGTTATTGCATTGTGAACTAGAAAATGAAAAGGTAGAATAAAAAAATGAGAAACACACCTTATAAAAAGATGAAGACCTTGAACAAGAAAAAAAAAATAGAATTTTTCCTTCAAATACAAGAGCCAAAATTGAAAATAAAATCTTGTAGATGATTACATTTAAAAATTGAAGAGGATAAAGGATGCACAAATAAATGAACTCGAGGAACTAAATGCAATTTTTGGGAAAATTGGGTCCTTGATAAGAAACATCATTTTAAATTGGCCTTTGATCGATTGGAGTGGAAATCAACTTTCGAACTGAAATTGGACTTTTTGAACCAAAATAAAAGGTTGAGGTAGAAAATCCCTTTTGGAATAAGGAAAGTTGGCTACATTAGACGGCATGGGGTAGAAACCATAAAGAAATACAAATGGTATACAAAGGAAAGACAAAGACGAATGGCAATTGGAGAAGAAAAACTTCTAGATTTTTCTGCAACACTCCATCAAAGAAGGTGATTGTCATTCTCTTTATTAAGAGAAGGCAATGCACTTCTTTTGTTGTTGATGACTTCTAGCCTCGATTGATGAGTTTGTTTTTAGTTTCTATTTGAACTTCCTTAATTAATTGGTAATGTTTCAACTCTTTCAACAAGCTTCAACTAAGGTATTCCGTGTCGCACTTTCAATTGAATGACTTCGGTGAATAATGAATACACTTAATTACATGATTATTATTATAGATTGTAGGAAGTTCATTTATATGTCTAACAGGTATTTTGAGAAATATTATGTACGTAATTATTACAAGTTCAGTTCATAGACAATATTTCTTCTCAAATTTCAATTTAGCCTTAAATGAGACTATGATCAGAATGCTATTGTACATTCATAGACTAGTGTATATTATTCAGCCCGAGGCTGTAAGTCAATATCAATTTTGGTCTTCATATATAAATTTACAAAGGTCAAAAACTTATTGCAGTATATTTCACGAATATCACCTAAATCTAAGTGTGTATCTACTGAGCATGAGTTAATAGAATAGAGTTCCTCACCTGAACTCTATCTAATGAGTATGATTTCAATTAATAGCTAAAAAAATGACTCGTCCAACTACTCCTTAATAAACATAATTGTCAATATTGGTAAGATTGAGTATTTGAATAACAAAAAATCCTAAAGACTTGTATGGTGCTAATGTTAGTGCTATTTGTTGGTATCTGGATTGCTAAAGATTTATCTTTAGTCGTGCAACTATGTTTTGATTATTCTACCCCCCCCACCCCCACCCCAATTTCATTTATACTCAAGTACAATAGCTTTACCAAATTGTTGAACAAAACATGCCAATTCCAATTCCAGTTATAAGAATGATAGGTTGTTTTCAACTTCATTTCAAGATCCTCATTTTTTCAAATTCTTAGTTCTAATTAGATTGACTATTAGAATTTCAAGAGTATATTTGATGATTATCTACTTTTCTCCATTCCTACGTTGATTCTAGTATAGATGACACATATACTGAATGTTGATAAGAGATTCCAAATGATTTACATACTATTTATTGGCTTGGTGACATTTAAGGTTAGAGTGACTCTTTTGTTGAGATAAATTTGGTTGCTTATTTTGATGGTGGTTGATCTCATTCTAATATTTAATATGGACTATAAATTAATATGGACAAAATACTAGAATAGAAGAGGTTCGCTATTAAGATGTACTAATTATTAGTATGTAGACTAGTTTCGTACTTTAATTTCAGTATCTCCACATTGAATCCAAATATGAAATATTAGGAGTGAATGAAAGACCATCAAGGTCTTTGATAGGTTCCTGTTGGATTAGATGTTGGAAAACAGAATTGAAAAAAAGAAACATAGGTATTAATACACTGCACTAAATGTAATGAATGAAATATCATATGACAATTATAAATAAAACATATTAGTTTATAAAAGTCCCTGTACATATTAAACTATTACAATGATGGTGCCAACTTTTGAGAGGTATGGCTCTCTCCTACTCCCTTCTTTNAATATGGGTTACATTAGGGGTTAGTTATGCCATTTAAACATACTAATGTACCTAGTACTTTCATGAGATCAATGAATCATGTTATGTGTGCATTCATAGGAAAATTTGTTTTAGTTTATTTTTTTAATGACATCTTAGCACCCGTTTGACTCCCATTACTTGAAAATGAAAATGGGTAGAATAGTATTTTTTTAGAAAAATGAGTGGTTGAAAAAGAAGGAAAAGTTTTCGATTTACGTGTAATGTTATTTTATTTCCGATTGTGTGGTTGAAAATAGGAAAATGGAATGTAATGTAATTGAATTTAATGGGGATCAAACGGGGGCTTAATATATAGTTTAGATGAGCATAATGAGCATTTGAGATGTGTGATTCTTGTTATATTACACAAGAGCTACTTTATGTTAATTTTATACACATTTTGCATAAAAAAGTAATTGTTCTAGGTCATGTTGTTAGTACAAAAGGTATTGAAGTAGTAGATGAAGAGAAAGTAACTGATGTGAACCCCCCTAACAATAATAGTTTTGAAATCCACATAAGATTGAATCACAACTCTAAGAAAGCTAAAATCTTGATTTGAAGCTTGATCTAATAATTTATTTAATCGGGGAACCAAAGTTATCAAGAAACTTGACCCCTTAGTCACAAAATTTATGAACCTTGTTATGAATTTGTTGAACGCTATAGAGATGAAACCCAAGATAAGTTTGAAATTGCATTCAATGAAGAACAAGAAGAAAGCAGCACTGTTTGATTTAATATCTCAAAAAAATTAATTTACTGTAAAAGAATGAGGCCATATGTAAGCAATAACAAAGAAACCCTAAATAACTCGTAAAACATAAAAATCCCATCAAATGAATAGAGTTTTTAAACAAAAAAGGAAAAATTAAACTGCCTTTAGATTTTCATACTATGCACACACCATGTATGCTCTCATGTGTACAGCGTTCAATTGATTTGGCTACTGCTTATACACCCACTCCGCTTTCTATACTCTAGGCTTCGTTTCTTCTGACTTACTCTTGAATTAAAGGTACCAAGGTTGATTCTTCTTTCATACCCATCTTGAAACTTTGTATATAGTAGGCCCACGTAGAGACAAGTAACCACATAGATTTGTTGGTCTTCTTTTCTCGCGATCTCCATCGATCCTTCTTCTACAATTAACGGATCCTTGCTAGCCTTCATCCCATGGTTCTCATCATCCTCTCCCCCTCTCTTTAAAAGGATTCATCCTTGAATCTCTACTCGCATCAAATAGAGAAAGATTAGAAATATTGAAAGTAGTAGAATTATTGTACTTACCTGAAAGATCCAATTTATAGGCCAATTCATTTATCTTTTCAAGTACTTGGAATGGTCTATCTCCTCTTAATTGCAATTTTGACCTCCTTTAAGCCGAAAAACGCTCTTGTCTCATATCTACCCAAACCCAATCACCTGCTTAAAAATTAAAGGAATAAAATCTAAAGGAGTTAGCTAATTAAAAACCATAGTACTATAGAAAATAATAGTATTAACTACCTTGGTTTGTCCATTTGTTTGCGGGTGACAAATAGTAGAAAATAACAATAGTTTGGTTCCTAATTTACACAACAAAACCCTCCAAAAATGACAGAGGACTTTAAAGACACTATACTCTTTGGTATCCTGTGGAGTCGCACTATTTTCTTAAAGAATAAGTCAGCTATGTACATGGCATTATCTGTTTTGTGACAAGAAACGAAGTGTACAATCTTACTAAACCCATCCACTACCACATAAATGGAATTTCTACCCCATTTAGTTCTAGGTAATCCCATCACAAAGGTCCATAGACATATCAACCCAAAGCTCACTAGGAACTAGTAAACGTGTTTACAAACCTTGTAGTAAAATCTTAGACTTAGCCTTTTTACATGTAATGCACCTACTACAACTCATGTTGACATCTATCTTCATTTTAGGCAAATAAACATTGAATTGTGTACAAAGAGCAGCTTTGTAAAATGTATTTCTCCCATCATTGGGTGTACTACTCCATCATCATCACTACCATCCTCCAATTCGGGCATCTCATCACTATCACTATCACTTACCACTTCCCCATTATCATGTATGATCCTTGCCATTTTGTTTGGGCATTGAGAAGCAATATGCTTTTACCTAAGCATATAAAACAATTGATAGGGATTCATAGAAGGTTGGGAATCCGCCTTGGATTTTATTTTGCTAGCCACTTCCTCTTTTCCCCTTGATGGTTCGGTCTTAACCTTTATAACAACTCCATCACTTGTATTGCCATTCCAGTTCAATTTCCAAGAAGGATTAGAGCCCAAAGAATACCTAGCTACTCCTTTTCTTTTCAATTGTATTTCCACCATCATAGCCACATGTAACATGCCCTCCAACTCTTCATAATGTTGTAATTCCACTACATTAGCCATCTCTCTATTCAAACCATTTAAAAACCTAGCTATTGTGGTCTTACAATCCTCCTCAACATTCGCCCTAACCATAACTATTGTCCATCTCTTTATGGTAATCCTACACACTTCTCAAACCTTGGTTAAGGCCTTGTAGTTTTTGACAAAGATTAATAATGATAAGGCACGAGCCTTTTCTTTATGATGGACTTAATTGACATGTTTTGATAGGTCTCTAATGATTTCTCCTCCTATTTGTTGCTCGTTGATCCCACCATATGAATAACATAATCATCAAACAGGTGCTAATTTCACCTTTGTCTCCAAATACACCTTCGAAATTGAATCCTATTGAATTTATTGTTACAATTTTTCATTCACTTTACTTTTACTTTTTTTTTCCAGGAAAAGAATATTGTTGAGTTTAACCTCGTGTTGGGATGTACTTTCTTGTTCTAACTCAATTTTGTGCTTTTTCCAAATTTTCTTTATTTGATTCCTAGCGAGACAACATTTGGATATATGGATAATGTCAAGCTTCTGACTATTCACCCTTTTGTTTTATGAAGTCTGTTATTCAGGTTTTGACTCACCCCGATTTCTTATTTACATCCACAACTCATAGATCTAGTTTTCCCTTTGCTAGACAGAATGGCTGTGATCCTTCCTTTCCCATGTCATATTGTTGTTTGGAGTTGGACTCGTTTTTTCCATGAGAAACCTGTAGAACAAACTAATCTCCACTGAGTAGATCAAGAATAATATATTTTATGTTTGTTTCACTCACAATTTACATTGAGATTATGGTTCTAAATTAAGAAGCATAGATGAGAAAGAGGGTGATCGACTGTAGGATATAAACACTAGTCCAAGTTATTCAAGAAAATATAGAAAATTATTTTTCATGTACAAGTCCTCCAACTTATTGATTTAATCATTTTATGTCCTCGCATTCAAGGTATTAGTAATAAATTCGACAATAAAGTTACTCACCAAGTCTGAAAATGTTAAGTAAATTCTCCAAAAGACATGAAATCATCCAATTACATTAGTGTTCTATATGAAAATAGAAATTTTTAGGACTCCAGAATTAATAAATATTTTATGGGCAAAAATTGTAAGTCATTAATTCGAATGAAGAATATTATTTTTTGGAATAATATTTCTTTAGAATCCAGCCCATCCTTTGTCATTTAAGGAGAATCTGTTTTAAGATGTTAGAAAAATAGAAAATAATGGAAATACTATTGGAATATAAAACAATGCAATGAGCACTATAATAAATAAAGTAACAATAAAATTGAGGAAAACTGATTGTTAATGTAGTCGCAATAATAGAAGGAACTAGTACTTGTGTTGCATACAATTTTCTTGAAATATATTTGCCTCATTGTGGTGCAAGAGGATTGATGACATTTATCTTCCAAGGTACAACAATTGAAAGCAGTTAAGGAGCCCATTATCGTTGCTTTAGGTGAACTGAAAATGCTTACAAAGGTCGAGCTCTAACAAAAATCCTCTAAGCTACTAAGGACAAGACTCTTGACAAAGGGAGAAAACAGAAATTTAAAGAGAGGAGAAAAAGTCTTAAATTTTTGGTGTGTGGAATAAGGAGGAGAACACCACGATCTGCTTGATAAGGCTTGTTATGAATCTAATGAGATCCAATTGTATGGGTTTAAGATCTCTCCATGTCTAAAAATTGAATACCACAATTGTATCTCATGTCCTCTTTTTTTTTTTTTTTTGCATCGAGGAGAAAGTTCACGACGTTGGTAGATAATGCAAATTTAACTACGTTGGGATCTCATGTCTTGACTACATGGATAGTGTGTTGGAGAAGCAAATTTTTCCTATTTACCTATGTTGTGTTTGAGTACTAGTTGCTCCTAGCAAAGTATCACACTCATGCAATGCTGGCCGATTTTGCACTGGCAGAGTATGCTATTTTGTGCACTCGAGCACCAAAAGCTTAAACTTGAGACTAAGCCCCCGTTTGGCTCAATTCTACTTCTCATTCTTTTTCTCTCTCTTATTTTCAACCACACAATCTTTTATAAAATAATATTACGTGCAAATCAAAAACTTTTCATTCTTTTTCAACCACACATTTTTCAAAAAAATACTATTCCAACCATTAAAATTTAGAAAGGATGGGAGCCAAACGGAGGCTGCATATTCTTTTACTAATTTTGAGAGCTTGAGCATTGGCAATGGAAATAACAACCCTACATAGGGTGGTTGTGGGAGGGCCTTTTTCAATTGTTGCTAGAACTTTTACCCATACTTGCCTTGTGCTGTTGGTGGCTGTTTAAATTCGCGAGATAGATTTAGTAGTTATGGATTAAAAAAAGTATATGAATTATCTATAATTATATTGTAGAATATATTGAATTTGGAATATGTCGATTAAGTGCATGTTTGAACAATAATAAATTACTGAAGAGGAAGAGATTATTTATTGGGATTGAGTTTCTTGAGAACGAAATCAAACTGGTTCCTATCGAGAACTGTGAAAATGGAACAATTGGTTGCATGGGCAAAAATTTCTGTTATCATTTTACACTCTCTTTACTACATCAAATCTTTCATCCTTAGCCCCTGTTTGATTCCCATTCTTCCAAAAATTCATTATTTCAAAACTCATTTTCAACCACACATTCTTCAATAAAATAATATTACACGTAAATTCAAAAATTTCTTTAATTTTTAACCACACATTCTCCATCAATCTCTTTTTCAATTTGTTTTTGAAGATTTGAAATTTTTTCTTGAATTGAAGATTTTGTAACTGTTCTTCAATTCATTGAATTTAATTTCTTCTTTGAGAAATCTAATATGGTTTTTCTTGAAATTGATACTATTAACAATTTTTTTGAAATTGATACTTTTTTTTAAAGAATTGACATCTTTATAAGGAGGATTATAAACTTGAAACAAATTTCTTGATAAAAAAATATTTGTAGTCAAACCTTTTGAATTAGCTTGAAATGGATAAATTTGAACAATAAAAGGACTACGAAGAATGACTTTTTGATCCAAATCTTTTACAAAATAAAAAATATTTTTGAAACAAATGTTTGAATTACAAACATGAGTTTCTGAAAAATTATATTGAATATTGAGTTTCTTACCACTAGCACCATAAAGAAGTAATGTTTTTCAAAATATTTTGATCAGTTACAAAATCAATAAGGACTCTAAATGTAAATTTAAATTCTTTGTTGACTTTGCAATGCCATTTTTGAAGTTGAATACGATTAATAACATTAATCATTTCCTCTTCAGATTGAATAATTGAAGTAATGATTGGATTTAATTCTTCATTAGAAGAACGAGAAAAGGATGAATAAGGAGTTTTTGACTTTTGTTTCTCATCTTGAGTTTTGAGAAGAGAAACTTCCATTCTAACATCTTTCATTTGACGTTCAAGAATGGAAATTTGAGATTTCATAGAATTCACTTCTGATTTTAAATCAGAACTAGATGATTTTGAAGTTTCAAAATGATTTAAAACATTTTGCATATTGAAAGATTCAACTTTTGATTTTGAAGGAAGAAGGGAATTAAACTTATTTTTGAGTTGTAGATCTTCAATTTGATCAACAATCTCTTCAATGAGTTCTTCTTATTTAGTAAGAACATTTATAGTTTTACAACCACAAAGTTCTTTAATTTGACTTGAAGAGGATTGAGAATTTCAAATAGATTCAATATAAAGATCTTCTTGATGTTGATAAACATGTTCTAACTCTGAATTGGACTCATTATTAGAACTGGAATTTGAATCGATAAGATTGAGGAGTCGAAGTTTAATATCTTCATAATGAAGATTATTAATCTTACCTTTGAGAGAACACTTATTAGAAAAATGCCTCGATTTTTGACATTTCCAACAAGTAACATTATTTTTTCTTGAAAATCTTTTCTTTTGAAATAATTTTTTGAATAAGAGGGTTAATTCTTTTCTTTTGAATAAAATTTTCTTTTTGAAAATTTTTTTCTTTTTGTTTTTTATGGAGGAATAATTTTTTCAAATTCATATTGTTCACAGAATGATCCAAGTTCTTTTCGACTATATAATCTTTATGTTTGCAATTTGGATTTAAGTTTGAGTTCATTACAGAGTGCTAATCCTTCTCTGTTAATGAAACAAATCAATTCTCCATAAGAAAGAATATCATAAGGAATATTATTTAAATATTCCTTTTTTATTGAATTTTTGACTCTTTTAGAAAATAATTTTGGGAGTCCAAATAAAAATCTTTCTTTCTGATAATCTTTTCACAAAAACACACATGTAATGAACTCAAAGTTAATAAAATATTTGAAATTTTTTCTAAAACGTCTGTTGGAGATCCAACAAAATGTTTGATAATAGTATTAACTATTGTATTAAAACTATCATTTGTACCATCAGGTTTGATAACTTGACCAATTTGAATTTTTTCTTGTTCAAAAATATAATTGAACCACCAATTATTAATTTGACCTGCAAAACCTTGAAAAATATTAATTGTTGCTTCGATTGCAAAAAGTCCTTCTTGAATCAGGAGGAGTATTTTTTGGATAATAAGGAGGAATTATTAAAATTGAACTTTTTTACCTTGAAGTTTATTTATTTGAGGAATTTCATCGTCAATAAATTGAGATTCAACATCGTCAATAGTATTGATTTTATTTGATGTAGAAGAATATGATATTTTTGATAACTGAGTCACAAGTTCTTTTAGAACAATAATCTCAGTTTTGAGACCATTTTTTGGTTTAATTATGAAGATTTGAATAGCTCCATCATTGAGATTGCTCGAAAAATTGGGATACCAATTTGAATATATTGGACTGCTTTCTAGATTTGACTCTAGAACGGATAATAATGAATTTTCGAATTTAAGAAGTCTCTTATCTCGAAGAGTTAAGAGAAAAGGAATGTCCAACCCAAATCTAAACAAAGGTTTGACAGCAATTTGAACTAATCCAAGATGAAGATATTTAAATTTATTCCTGTGGGATTCAATTGATTCTTTTGAAAATAAATTGATGTGTACATTTCGATTTTTGATAGGCAATGTTTGTTCAAATGTTTTGATAAC